ACCGGGGTCTTGATGACGTTGGAACTCTTCTGCAAATCAGAGGCAGCAGGCGCTTTCTCCAGTTTCTGCTTCTTAGCCTTGCTCTCGCCAGACTTGACGACCTTCTTCGCCGTCTTGTTAGACTCAACAGTATCCTTCTTGTCCGAAGCCTTTGGCCGTCCGGGCTTCTTCTTGGGTGACTCCGTAGGTACGATAGCTGGTATAGCGACTGCGGCCTCGCTCTCTCGCTTGCGCTTCTTCGCAGCAGAAACTGGTGTGCCGTCGGGTCCAACCTCCCTCTTCTTGTACGGACCGCGTGGACCATATTTCCCATTCTTGAGAGGAGTCGCAGCAAGCTTGACAGTAGGTGTCGCATCGACTGGTGGTGTGTTTTGCTTCCCTTCTACCTTCTCGGGCTCCTTGGTAGCTTTAGCTTCTTTGGACAGCCTCTTCAGTCTCCTGGCTTCCTTCCTCTCGGCCTTCTCTTGCTTCTTCTTAGCTTTCTCTTCCTCGGCAACTTCATCCGTCGCACCATCGTTGGTTTTGATAGGTGCCGGCTCCTCGTCCTCTTTGAAGTCCATGCTGTTGTAAGACGGACGCTTCATTGAGGCGCCTTGACCAGTCAGGTGATGCTGCGGCATGCGGTAGAGACCGTTAGGCGGCATCGTTTCGATGGCTGTTGGTGTGTGGCGGGTGGATTTTGTTCCAGAAACGTGTTTGTTGACGCGGTTTGCTGTTGTTGCCAGGTTGACTGGGCGCAAACAAAACACGATCGAGCCCGCAAGAGCGCGCGACGACGTGTAACTTTTTCAAATCCAGTTAGAGCGTGCGCGCAGAAGAATGGCTGGGGGATGACTACCTTGGCCCTCACGTTGCGGAGTAAGAGCTTGAACAATGTAGAAAGGTGCGAGAGACGAGGTTGACAAAAGTATGGGGAGGAAGTCGCGAGGGAGAAAAGTCAACAAGCGATCTGCCTGGACTCAAGGTGAAGGTGAAGACGAGAGCATGCACTCACCTTCACGGTGAGTGTCGAAGGATCCCAATGTAGCCCATGCCAAGACAGAGAAGTCAACGACGTTTTCCAATCACGTGGCTCAGTAGGATCTACTAGATAAAGCGTTTGATGTGTGTCATGGTGGAGGTGCGGGAATCAACAAATCTGCACCACCACTATCAGATCCCGCGGCTGCATGCATTGCAGGACATACGATGTTTATTCGGATAATAGAAACACGGGTATAATATAGCTATGCGTATTATTTCTGCGGAAGCCTGTTCCCTTCATTAGGTATCTTGACGTCAGCTACTACTTAGCCCTTCCCCTGGCGGTGACAGATCTGGATTTCACCACGCCTTAGGCGCTTGAATAGGATTTAGACATTTGTTGATACGATTTAATTGTCGACAATAGTAGTGTTGGCAAAGGTGCGGTCGAGGCCGAAGCGTGAGGCACTGAATACATGGACATCGCTTGCCGGTCGTAAAGGGACCGTTACAGCGGGACATCTCAGCGGCGATGATGGTTCATTCATGCGAGTCAACATATTTCTTTGATACAGAGTTGGATGTATATCAGCGCCCCGTGTTCAGCCATCCCAAACGCACATGGTGTCTATAAACGTCTCCACTTCCTCAGCTATGACCGTTTCCAGATGCTCCCGTCTGATGCATTTCGTAGATTTTTGTGTACTTCAGGTCATTGTATGAGGTATCGCGAATAAGTCAAAACGCTATTGAGAGAGACCCCATCTTCCAGGCCTCATGGCTTCATGTTTGATGGGTAGAGCGTCTTCACGAAAGGCATGTAAGCGTTGACGAGTGACGCCATTAGACGTTCTAGAGTATGCAGAGCCGTTCGCTCGAGTAGTCTGTCTTCCTAACAATTGCCAATCGGGTACTCATGGGTAGACACGTGGGGAAAGAAAGAACAAGGCTGGTATGAGCATATGTCTGGTGGTGTTGACTTCACGGATGGTATGTACATGGTGTTGTGGTTATAGTGAGCCTCTTTAGCATTCCACATAGCATCTATTCAAGTATACGGTAAGCAGAGAAGGCTCAATCTATGGATGTGTGGGGCTGTGATGCAACTTGGTCGACTTTCGGATGCTGCCCTCGGTAAGCGAGATCATGGTTGAGCTCAACAATGGAATGATGACTCTGAACGTACTCCGTCGACGTGGAAATGATGATAAATCTGTAGCGAAGCATTCGTGAGCTCCTCGCTCTGGAACACAATCAGCATCTACAGGCTGACACTGAGTTACCCTATAACTATATCTTCTCTTCCTCTGAAACCAAAATGCACTAAGTGATTACAAATTACTCCCCGTCTCTCGCTAGACTGGCCTCGTGAGCACACGCGCCAGACCTTAAAGACCCGGCGTATGCGCAACATTCCTGATATCCTTGGTTTCAATGCGACCTATAGCTGGATACATATCATGCCGATCAATGTAACTATTCACGGTCTTGACATTCTCCAGTTCACCTTTGCTCCCCTCACTCTTGGCCGTGTCCACCTGCACCAGCGCGTTCTTGTCCATATCGTCGTCGAACTCAGCTAGCCCGCTTCTTGCTGGGAAACTAGTCACTTCGCCGCCATTCTCCTGGATGGGCGGGATACCCGCCATGTCTCCGTGATCTAGACTGAGCTTGCGGACGCGAGAGTCTAGATTTGAAGGCGGAGGCTGTGGTGTGTTGTCGCTGGGGATTGCGCTAAGGGACTTGGAGCGCACGGCTTGGAGGGCGTTGGAGTCTTCCGAGGCGCGATTTGGTGCCTCGCCTGCTGAGAGGGAGCGCTGAGGGTCAACGGTCGGAGTATGTGGAACGCTGTTCGAGCGCTGCTTGTCGTGTGCGGTTTTGCTGCTCTTGGACCACGACTTGAATTTGAAAGCCGAGAGCCAACCCGGGCGCTTTTCCTTGCCAGCGTTTGGATTCAGGGCACGTTCGGCAGCCAGCTGGATGTGGGATTTTGCTTCTGGCTTTGAGGGCTTGAGTCCGGCGACGTGGGCTGGCGAAGGAGCCGGAATGGAGCGGACATCGTAGTCTGACTTGCGGCGCGCGCCTGCTGCATCCACATTGGATTCTGAAAGACCCAGTACAGCACGGTTTCGGGCGAGATTGGATTCCTTGACTTCTTCGGTGATGTACGACATGGCTTTGTCGATGACATCGATGTACTCTGGATAATCGACGACGCAGGCTTCCCGGATCAGACGCAGCTTCTCCCAGTCTTGCCGCACTGCTGGCCCTGTGAGGTCAGGGTGCCAGCCCATGCTCTTGAGATCGGATCGGATTCCCCGGTCAACCTGCTCCTTGACGCCCATGAGATCAATGAGCGCATCGACTTCGGTGCGGACAACCTTGACGTACTCGCTGAAGCGCGTGGTGTCCTTGACGGTCCAATGCGAGGTGGTCATGCTCAGGTTGCGCTTTAGAGTCGCCCGCGCGCCCGTCTGTGCGAGGAGATCCTTGAGGAGGGCAAACTTCTCGCGGAAGCCTTCTAGTCGGTTGGTGTCGAGTGCTGGGTATTCCAGGCGCGAGAACGTCTTTGGACTCTTCAGGCCGTATACGTTCATCAGTTCATCGCGCGACATAGTGCTAGGGCGGCCGGCGATCTCATGCAGGGCCCTGCGCACCTTTGCATTGATAACCTCGTCGTCAAGCCTCGGGTCTCGGACGCCAAAGTTGACTGGCAGATGCGGATCCGGGTTCGTGATGCCCGGATGGCTGGGGATCATGTGTCGAGCAATGGTCGCGGGCGGCGCAGAGATGCCCACGGCATCGCCAAAGATCAGTAACCTGCCCTGCTGAAGGCCGAGCTTGGCAAGCGCAACCTTCTGCGCATGGTCGTGGTCCTTGGAAGGATGGATGAGGTTGAAAGCTTCAACACAAGTGCTGAACTGGGTCGCGAGAGAGAAGACGTCGGTGAGGACCTGCGCCTTGGTCTTGGCTCCGACAGGCTCGGTTGATTCGACAAAGTCGGTGGTGCTCTTGGTCGTCATGTCGGCGGGGCTCGTCGCGGCTTCAGCTCGAGAGATGTCGATGGCAGAGCACAGAAGCGCGCGCGCCAGCTGGAGGAAAATCAGGATACATCACGGATCCGGTCAAGTCGATATTCACTGCATGTGCGCATGACGTCTGGGGGAGAGACCAATATCCAACTGTGGCGCAGAGGAAGCGGGGCACCGATCGGCAAGTCTCTGTCCTGTCTTGGCTTTCGCTGCACGCTCTTCATTCGCGAACACGCCCGCTGTCCGCAACCAAGCATTGCGACAGTCCATGCCACGCCTTTGCCTGCTGCACTCGTGTGTCTTCGACGCCACACGTTGCCAGGGTTAGATAAATGCCGCACTGCTCGGTCTCTCTTTGTTGGGAGTCAACGTGCGACCTCAGATTCGGCTGCCAAATTTTCACTCTTCTGCTGCGGCTCGCGATCTAGATCGTGCAGCCATCTTGGGTGCTTATCTGGTTCTCTGCGGCAACACGACGCGGAAACTGTTGCTTGCTGGCGCGCGAAGTGTCTGGGATCTAGTGTGCGTTGCATTGCATCTGCTATCTAGCTCTCTAGGTTTCTGGGAGGGCCAGGAAGACGTCGTAACACTACCAAGGCCGCGCGGGCTGTCCAGTCGTACCTGACCTCATCCTCCTTTGTCGCCCCGACGGTAGGAAATCATCGCGACGCTCGGCAGCCATCTGCACCACCGTGTGCGTAGAAGACGCATGGCAACCAGCATCCGGGCCATGTTTCGTCAAGAGGTCATGTGAGTAGACCGGCTGTCAGTAGGCAAGCGGTTGCTGAATTAGCCATTGAAAATCGCGCGTCGCTTTCGCTAGCGGCCGTCTAGATAGGACCGAAAACGCACACACACTAAGTTGTCTCCATTGGGAGAGCTGACGATCAGGCTGCGCACATCGGCGAAAACGCCCAGCCTGTCTGTTTGACGGCATTTGCAGTATCTGATGAAGAGCCAGCTCTAACACAGCCGCGCTGGGCGCGAACAAGTAGCGTGGTCATCTCAAACATGGTAGAATGGGCTCTTCCCCCCCGGCTTCTCTTCATTGACGCTCACCGCCGTATTCGTATCGCCGTCTTGGTCGCACGACCTTGTGTCCGTCTCTTGCTTTTGTAGCTCGTTGCGCTCAATACTGAACTCGTTCGTGACAAATATACCACTGCCCCGGCGATCAAGCTCGCCCAGCCTACTCGCTGGCAGTGCATCATCTTCGCTCTCTCGCTCAGAGGCACTTTTGCCAGACACGTTGCTCTTGTTGCCGGTTCCAGCCGGCCCATGGTTGCTCTTCCAGCCCATGGGATACGATTGACGCTTCGTAGTGTTCTTGGTCCCTATGCCCGAGCCGAAAAGTGGCCCGAAAAAGCGAACGAATGGAGCGCGCAGCATAGGAAGGCAAGCACATACGATACCCGCATTTGCTTCTATCACCGACCATATTGTCGCGGGTACGGGACCCCAGGTTGGATCGGGGTTGTTTGCGGATCGTGCGATTGTGGTGGCACGATATATAGACGCGAAAGTGACACTAGCAGGTTAGCAATGGGCCTTTGACGGAACTCTCAGACACGTACAAGCCTCCAGTGCCAAACACAAGCGCCACGCCCAGCTTTTCAGCCCGTCCCATAGAAAGACTCAAGATCTGCCGAAAAGGCATCGCAAGCAGCATAAAGTCGGTCGTGATTTGAACCGTCGCATAGGAGATCCACCAGGGTTCATTCTTAAAACACCGGGCACCGGGTATGGTCCTGTCCCAGAAGGCCGCGATTGGTGTGCATTGGAACACGGTCGCGATAGTGAATGCGAAGCCGGTGATGATGATCCAAGCGTCTACATCAAAGTCAGTCGATGAATTGGTTTCATGTCAGAGCACTTACTCATGATGTGACAAGCAATACGGAACGACTTGGTGGTTATGGCGAAGATTCGGTAGTAAAGACAAACTACAGAGATCTTGTTGAACATCAGAACGACTTTGTAGACGACTGCAACGGTCAGTAAGCTTCGTAGTGACACTCTGCACCATCTCCACTAAATGTTCTTTCGTAGCCATTCAGGCCGGGCTCCTGGAGCACTCCATGCTGTCCAGAAGGATTGTACGGTCGTTGAGAATCTACTTACTGTTTGCTCCGTAGAACCATTGGCGAGCGATGATGCGGGAATCGGCGGGTAGGGATTTCCATGGTCTTCCGTAGCCATAGACTACCGCTGTTCGAATTTAACGAGTGTCCCTCGAGGTGATGCGAGTCCACTAACCTTGACACTCTGTTACAGAGAGCACGACCGATGATATCAAGGCAGCGACGATCATGTAGTCGTCCATTCCTAGACCACTTCGCTTGGTCAATCGCTGTGCAAGGCGTCCGGCGACAAAGAGACCCGCGACGATGACGGCTAAGACGCTGGTGAGCCAGAGGCCCCATCCACGCTCAACTGAGCCTTGAGTTCCAAGGCCGACGTTGGGAGCCATGTCGCATGAGGGTACACTCAAGTTTTGGAGAGCAAGTCCTGTGGATGACCCACGAACAGCGGGAGCCTACGGTATAATCATTAATGGGCCTCGTGCAGCATGGGACTTTCCAGGTACCCGGCCCTGAAGATACGGCGATGCAGGGTATAGGGTGTGCAGCGGCTGATGACCCTTCCGTGGGGGCATCACGGGAATGCTTTGACGGCGAATTTCTCTGCATTCGTATCCGACGCGATTGGATCTGGTGTACCAATCTTCGGGGACCACACATGTCGATCTCTACAATGCCGTGCGCGCTCAGGGTTTTCCCTGCTACGGTCCAGGCGTTTGCCGTGAATGCCAGGGCTGACTGCCAATCGGCTCGGTGCAGTGTACTGAACAGGTATGGGTGGGTGACATCAGATGGCGATCAGCGGTGCCCGGAATTGTGCCGGATGTAGGCAAATCGCACTCATCGCCTACGCCCGTCAGGTTTGGGTCTTGAGTTGTATCGAAAAAGCAAAGGCTTGAGCGGAATGAACAGCATCAAAGTCCCAAGTGTTCGGGTTCGTATGTCACGACGATGGAGAGGTCCGCCAGATCGAAAGGTTCCGGGCGACTGGGAGACGGGTCGCGCATTGGGACTAGTGTTGTCCTTGCTAGGGCTGCAGCCGAGATGAAGCCTCGTGCGTACCCGTCCTGTCTGACAACGTCGAAGCTTTTGACGCCGGCGTAAGACCGCGCGCACTCGGCATGAGTCCTTCGCAACACTGCCATCTGCCTCGGGACTTTGTCTGGTCGGAGCTTTGTCTGGTTGCAGCCCTGTTGTCCCATCGTCGACGGCTGGCCACGCAGGAACGTGGAGCTAACAGCTTGCCACCGAGCCGTGATTTACATCTCGCTCCAATAAAGTCAGCTGGCCGCCCTCCAGCTGTTTGAAGTTATTCCGTCGAGCGCATGGTAGTTGCTGTTTCGAATTGAAATTATGCAACACCTCCTCCTTACCGCTGCAGCTGTAGCTTCGCTATTCGGTTCGGCCGTCGCAGCGCCGAAGAATGGCTCCAACATCGAGACGTCGAGCGGTACCTTGATCGGTCACCCATCGTCTAACAAGACACATGTGACTGAATTCTTGGGCATTCGATATGCTGAAGCGCCAGTCGGCGAACTGAGATTTGCTGCGCCGAAGAAGTTCGACGCGCCCAAAGGAACCGTTTTCGAGGCATCCGAGTGGGTCAGTAATCACGACATCACTGGGTAGTGCTCAATCACTGACAGACTGTAGTCTCCGTATGTTGAGAGTTCGAACATGTAGGATACGTCTAATGACTTTACAGTGACTGCCCTGCTGTTAAGCCGCCAGTATCGGCTTTCCCCAACTTCACACAGCCATCCGGCTTGCGTGTGTGGAAGAACTTCGCAGCTCAGAGCAACAATTCGGTGTCTGAGGACTGCTTGAAGCTCAACGTCTGGACGGCGAGTGCTGGCGATACCGATGCAAAGAAACCAGTGCTGGTGTTTCTTCACGGAGGACGTACGTGGTCCCTTCGGCTGTCATGGATGACTTCTAACAGCCACGCTAGGTTTCCAGATCCCCGGCCCTCACTCTCCCTTCTACAACGGGCAGTATCTGGCCGACGCTGAGGATGTCGTCGTTGTGACATTCAAGTAAGACACCCGCTGTGGTCGACCCTACACCTACTGACTGGGTCAGTTACCGATTGGGCATCTTCGGCTTCGCTGGTGCTCCTGGTGTTGAGAAGAACGCGGCCCTGCGCGACCACCGTAGCGCTGTCGAATGGGTGCGCGATAATATCGCTGGCTTTGGAGGCGACCCTTCGCGCATCGTCATCTTTGGACAAAGTGCAGGTGGCGCCGCTGTCGACTACTGGGCATACGCCTGGAAAAACGACCCAATTGTCTCGGGTCTCATCCCCATGTCTGGAACCTCACTGAGCTTCGTTCCCAACACAGTCGAGTACTCGCAGTCTATCTGGTACAATGTGTCCCAGACCATCGGTTGTGGGGGTGCTGCCAATGACTCTGCCGCTGTCGTATCTTGCGTACGTTCTGCAAACATGTCTGCTCTTCTGGCTGCCTCGGCAAAGGTTCCTGGTCTTCCCAGCGTCGGTCTAACTCAAGCGACCTTCCATCCGACCGTCGACAATGTGACGGTTTTTGCGGATTATCAGCAACTCTCAGCGGACGGTTCCTTCGCCAAGATTCCGCTTTTGGTCGGCAATGCTGACCACGAAGACGGCTGGTATCGCATTTCAGGGTGGGCGGCCAAGCTGAACTTTACCAATGCGCAATGGGATCTGTTCACCCAGCGTGGCTTCACATGCCCATCCTCCTTGTCCGCTGCATACAGGGCGCAGTACGACGTACCGACCTGGCGATACAGATACCACGGAGATTGGGACAACCTTCGCCTCTACAACGGCAGCGCAGGCCTCGGACCTCGAGGAAGCGCGGCCTACCACGGCTCTGACCTAGGCCTGGTCTTCGGTACCGCTCAAGACATCTCTGGCCTGCCCAATTCTCCTGCTGAGAACCAGTATATGAAGCATGTCCAGGGCGCCTGGGCTGCGTTTGCCCGTGATTCGCAGGAGGGGTTGACCAAGTACGGATGGCCGATGTACAACTCGGGTAAGCACTGGGAACACCAGAACGCCTGTTTCTACGCTAACACGTGCAAAGGCAATGCTACACTCGTCGAGCTGGCTTATAACAACGACCCTATGCCCAAGTTTGTCAATCCGACAATCTATGACGCATCTTGCCCCGCGAAAAACGATCCGCTGCCTGGACGAGGTGCTTTTTAAAGAAAGATGGTTACATTTGTATCAAGTAGACACCCTTCTAGCATGTTATTCAGCAACACCTTTGTGACGTTTGTCATCGCTTTGTTCTAACTTTCGTCGTCTGCGTTCATGCGATTCGCATCGCTGCATCCTCTCGTAATTGGTCGCATAAGATCACAAATCCAAATCTTGGATGACTCGCCGTTGAACCCGGCGTTGAGTCTGTGTCAGAAGAGGTTGTGTTCCCGGCACTTGGGTCCCCAGGACCTGCCTCGTTCGGATGGCGTTAACGTTTATGGTTACGGCCCGATGCGCTGACGCCAACCAACGAACTTTGTCGTGAGCCAGGACTGCGCCAACCGACTGTTTGTAAGAACGCCGACGAAGGACAACCCACCGCAACGGTTATATCAGATCGATATCCCGGTCATTCGATTGGACTGCCGAGGTGATTGTGACAGCGGCTGCATTAAGATGGTAAGGAGCACGTGGGTGTAGCGCACCTAGCTGCACCGGAGACATGCCCCCGAATGAATTCATCGCGTATCGCGACTTGATCACGACTTCTGCATTGACGCGATGTAGCCAGGTTTACCGTTCGATAGTTCCGTCGAGTAGGATTGAGGCTCGTCGGCTGCGCGCATGCAACCGCCGTTCTTCAAGAGCCAGAACGCAGACGAACTCTTCTGACCCGCCTCCTCCACTTGGATAGCTGCTTGACTCGCAATTCCATCGCACTAATTTGAGACTGTAGCAGCGGACGCCTGAGCAGATCGAGATCCTATACGACGACCCGTGTCACAAGATGTCCAGTCACGTTGATATCATCATGAAAGGCGAACAGACTGCAGAGACGGGAGACAACAAGGATGATCCCCCGTCTTGGCAATATATACATGTCCCAATAAGGCGCTGGGATGTCAGAGTACAGGTACCGAGACTAGAATGCCATGCCGCGTCCATGCTAACCCACCACAGCAAAGTTAGTGCGGGACCCTTGCGATTGCGGCGTGATGTGTGCATAGAACACGGGCTGGCACCCCGCGCCTTGGGTCTATACTTCTAGGACGACTACTCTGGTAGTTGTCTGGTACTAAAACCAACGACTTTCCGGCTGGAAGGTAGTCTGCCCTGCATTTGAACAGTACGCGAAACGGACCGTCTTTACAACCGCGAGGATGAGTT